ATAGGGACACTTTCATGGAGGTTAAGTAATGGACATGTTTGTGGTTTCACTGTACGGCGGTGTCCTGAGGCGATATAACATGCTGATGCCAACTCATTCATGACCAAACCCAGCTGTCATGCCATGATAACAGGTAGACGGGCCATATACCTAAAGCCAAATCTTTCTTTTTCATAGATTTGGATAGAGTGAAGAGGCGATAAGAATACCTATGTGCCCCCATGAGGGAGATTCACTCTCTATTTGTCGTGGTGAAAGTGAGAAAGTCCTATAATTTGATTTTCAACTGGAATAAGGGGGGGGGGGGGTCTAGCACTGGTGAGAACCAAGAAGGGATTTCCCTTACTTCCCGATTTGGCAATGGGACAAGAAGTGAGGGGAGATGACAGGGGTTATAACCTTCCCCTCCTCGCTCAATACAAAAGAGAAAAAAAAAAAAAGGTTTGGGCTTTAGCGACTTTAAGGCCCCATTCACACAGCTCAGAGTGGGGCCGTACTAGTCCGTGCTGCGCGCACTGTCATATTGGGCCGCTCCCGGGAAGGACAGGTGCTGCGTGTGATTGTACGCCACAGCCTGTTCTTCTCTATGGGAGTACACGGCTTTACGCTCACCCGAGCTGCACATCCCTGCAGGTTTCCGTACTCGTACGCTGACAGGATGGATCCTGTCTGCGTCCGAGCACGGACACCCGCACGGATGTGCAGCTTGGGTGAGCGTATGGTGGCGTACTCCCATAAAGAAGGACAGGCTGCTGCATACAATCACACGCAGCACCTGTCCTTCCCAGGATACGGCCATGGAAGCCACGCAGATCTGTACGGGCTGATCCTAAGCTGCGAGACCTAAATGCGAACTTTCAACAATGTCTGTCTACCTTCTCTGCCATCCTCCGTGAAGATTGCTACCGAGATGAGGACAGGCATGCTTTTAGAGACCGGGTGCCATTATACATTGTTTCACAGAAACAAAAAATGGAAGACGTGGAATCGAGATGTGCGATAAGGAACTTATGTGAAGGAAGACGGGCGCTTCTTCTGTGGACACCAGCTAGTCTCTGGATAAAGCAGACAATGAAGAGTTTTGAACCTGCAGGAAAAGAAAAAACAAAAGTCAGCACAACATTTACACAGGCGCATTAAGTGTCATGGCGGCCCCTTTCTCTACTTCTACACTTGATTTTTCACTCCGCAGCGGCAGGAAATTACAATTGATCTCACAGTTGTAACTGTAAGCTTTGCACGCAGTTAAAGCCAACTGACATCACGTATGCTTAGTCTTCAGCTGCCTCCCCCCATGTTAAATCACAGAATTGCACATTAGAAAAAGTTATTAAAAAATAAAATCAGTAGAAAAATAAATAAAATGTACTTCCCTTACACCCCAAGCTCCACCCATGGCGCCTAAGCGAGGGCAAAATCATGGGCCATCTGTCAAGGCATCCTAAGCAGAAATATACAGATCTCATAAGACACTCCTGCAATGTCCTCTTCGGTGGTGTTCTAGGCAGACTACTTCCATGACGCCCAGTGTCATCCAACCCACTTCCTGTGAACTTAGGGCTTCATGGACATGCCCTCTGGGGGTGGGTCGTCAAGCCAGCCTCTGCTTTACCGGACAGAAGCGAACTCGCTTGTCATTATGTGATCACCACACTCTCCAGGAAGTCCCCCCTCAAAAATGGCGCAGAAAAAGAGGAAGGGCCCATGTAATCACTGACCCGGCCAGAAGGCAGCAGGATTTAAGGTTTGTATTAAAGGTAGAAAAAAAAAAAAGGCCGCATGACTGTGTGCTGGGCAACCATATTAATAAACCTGCTGTGTGGGGCAGGGTTTGACTTGCCTTGTTGGGTCCTGCTCTAGGCTGAAGGCTCCAGCAATTTGTACAATGTTCCTTCTGTTTCCGGGGCCACCATAGCCCAGGGTTACCTTGATAAAACAGAAAGGAGAATATATAAAGCCACAAGCACCTGGGACATATAATACAAGCCTAGAAATCATACGGTGCTGACATTGTGACAGGTTAGAGGACAGGAAGATCTTTTACTGAGAATTACCAACGGTGAGAAATTTCTGTCAACTCTGATACATTGCTGGAATGTGAGAGCTCACAGACCTGCAACCAGCAGATGTATGTATGAATGGCCACAATTTACAGTGTTCTGCAATTAGGCAACCTGACCACCACTGGCTGAAGAAACAAACAGAAGGAGTGTGGCTCAACTTGGGAGAGTGACAACATAAAAACATATGCATGGCAAGAACATTGAGGGAAATGTATCAAGACTGGGACAAAAACTGGAGCAGATGTGCATGGCAACCAATCAGCTTCTCTCTTTCATTTTGAAATCTTAACTGAACAAGCTGAAGAGAGAAACCGATTGGTTGCCATGCACTTCTTCTCCAGTTTTTGTCTCCTCCAGTTTTGATAAATTCCCCCCCATGCAGGGGCGTATCTGCCGCGAGGCAAACAAGGCGTTTGCCTGGAGCGGCAGATTCGCTGAGGGCGGCGATGCTGCCTTGCCTAGGGCAAAGCTGCACATCCTCCCCCCCCGGACTGACCCGCCGATTCCCGTAGATGGCATCACCCACCTCTGTATAGTGCGCTCTCGCCACCAGCGCCACGACACAGAGCAGCAGCCGGCATCTAGCACACAGCGCCGCTGCTGCTTGCGGGCCGTCACGTGACGCGGAAGTTTTCCTCCTGTCATCGGCTGCTGCTCTGTGTTGTGGTGCTGGCGCTGGGGGCGAGAGAGTGATGCCATCTACGGGAATCGGCAGGTCAGTCCGCGGGGGCTTGCACTCCACGAATCCTAGGGCAGCAGCAAAGTTAAATACACCGCTGCCCCAATGTTTTTTAAAATGTAGGGATAAGTGCATGCAAAGTGCACTCATCATTTTTGACCCTTTTGGTGCCCTAAACTAACCCACCCACCCCCTCCACAGGTACATACTTACCTTGATCCGAAGGCCACGGCCTCTGGTGTTTATTTACATCCAGAACGGCAAGCCTCACTCTCCAGATCGCACCTGCACATTACCCAAGGCCAGAGACGAAGGGAGGCAGCCCCATAGAAGTCTATGGGATGGTAATGAGCAGGCTCTGCCAGAACAGTGAGACTTGCAGTGGAGGAGGGAAGCATATCAGAGTCTATCTAAAGCCAAAACTTTTTTTTTGAGTTTTGGGTAAAGTCCCAGAATACAGCTAAGTGAGATAGGGAGCTACAGATTGAGAACTTGCACCTCCAAGTTACGGTCAGTATCCCCATTAGGGAGATTTGCTTTCTCAGTCTGCTCTGGTGACCACTGTCACCAGGACTTTAAAAAAAAGGAGGGAAAAGCTAATATTTTGAATTGGCAAAAGGGGGCATTTCCCTCACCATGGAGAGTTTTTTTGTCTACAGGTCAGGAAGTAAAGAAAAATCTCTTACAGGATGCTCCTCCCAAAAAGCCTGACCAGCGATTTAACCTTTCCCTACTCTGCCCAAAATAAATAAATCATTAAAAAGAACCTTGGGTTTTAGATATATTTTAGGAATCCATTTTAACTAAAGCAATCAATTGGGAGAGGGGGGTCGTCGAATTGTGCACATGGAGGCAGCCATCAAAGGAAGGACATATGTGGAGCATAAAATTAGGATCATGAGATAATGATCTCTGCTTGCTTATCTATACAGCCTTTTCAAGATTATATTGACTCAACAAACAGGTAGAAAACACGTTTAGTATAACGGTATGAATGCATAAAGGTCATAAGAAGAGGTAATTCCCCCTGTGCCCATTTATTCATCAGTGCCTGGAATAGGGAACACTCACCTGCTGCAGTAGGGAATTCTGGGGGAGTCTCTGCAGATTTTCCAGGTGCGAGTGGAAGAGGTCGCTGTGCTGCATTTTCACCTCCAGCAATCCTTCAATAATGTACCCGATGGTGCAGTCATCAGGGAGCCGAATCTTCTCTGCCGTGCTAATGAAGTTTCCCATGCTAAAGATGAGGCAAAGAATTCGGTCACTGTCACAGAGCAGTAACACGGTATAGGTAAAACTGCCAGTTGACCGCAGCCCCAAAATATAATTTAGTTGTTTTTGGATTAAAGCTGAACCCTGGATACAACAATTATATTTCTCAATAGCCACAAAGGATCTAAATCCAAAAGTGTGTAGATTACCGACCATCATACTTATTTGAGCCTTTTGTACCTCCCATTCTAAAACCATGGGCATTAATATGGAGTTGGCCCCTCCTGTGCAGCTATAACATTCTCTACTCTCCTGGGGAGTCTTGCCTCAGGATTTTGGAGGGTGTCTGTGGGAATTTGTGCCCATTCATGCAAACGAGACTTGTGAGGTCAGGTACTGACAGATCCAAGAGAACACTCCCAGGCCTGAGCTGTTCCCAGCTCAGCTACGTGTGCTGTCCATGTCTGGTGTCCATCACTTCCCCTCCTCATTCTAGTCGTAAAAGATGTGAAGCCACACACAGCTAATCCATGAGACTCAAAAAACAACCTCCAGAAGAGACACCGCACCCACGACCTCACTCTACCGTGTTTGGGGCTTGATTGCCGAACCAGGTACTCATGTTGGACAAGAAGACCTCCTTATTCATCCAGAGGAAACACCCCACCCATGACCTCCCCCTCTGGCGCATTTTGCCCTTATGACGGGGCTTAATTGTAAAGCCAGGTATTCATTTTAGACAAGACCTGGCTTACAATCAGCATTCCAAGTCATACCAAAAAGGTGTTCAAAAGGGGTCAGGGCTCTATTCAGGCCTCTCGTGTTACACCACATGAAACTGGTAAAACCATGTCTTTATGGAGCTGGCTTTGTGCACAAGAGCACACTTACGCTGGAATAGAAAAGGGCCTCTACCAAACTGTTTCTGCAAGGTTAGAAGCTCACAAATGTTGTTGTATGCTGTATGCTGTTGTATGAAGCTAAAATGTTTTTGTATGCTGTAGTATTACAGTACCCTTCACTGCAATCACTTGAACATTTTCAAGAGGTGTCCACATTCTTTATATCATATAGAGTAGGTGTCAAAAAATTGGTTATATACTGCATCTGTGGAGGTGGGCTACAGACACTTAAAGTGACATTAAACCCTCAAATTTTTTAACATAAAACAATAGTGTAATGTGCGCCTTACTGTAATCCATGGTTGTTTCCCTTCTCTTTGCTGCTCTTCCTTTTAAATCTGTATCTCTTCTCATGCTGAGCAGAACTTCTGTTTTGTAGCAGACTGCCTTGTCTCTGAAATGGATACATGGTGTCTGTGTGTAGGTTCGCAACCTGAGCCAGCACTACAGGAAGAGGCACTCAGCTGCAAAGGGAAGTTCTCCCCAAGCATGAGGAGAGATACAGATTTAAAAAGGAGCAGCAAAGAGAAGGGAAACAACCATGGATTACAGTAAGGCACACAACAGTATTGGTTTATGTAAAAAAAAATCTGAGGGTTTAGATTTTCCAGGTGCGAGTGGAAGAGGTCGCTGTGCTGCATTTTCACCTCCAGCAATCCTTCAATAATGTACCCGATGGTGCAGTCATCAGGGAGCCGAATCTTCTCTGCCGTGCTAATGAAGTTTCCCATGCTAAAGATGAGGCAAAGAATTCGGTCACTGTCACAGAGCAGTAACACGGTATAGGTAAAACTGCCAGTTGACCGCAGCCCCAAAATATAATTTAGTTGTTTTTGGATTAAAGCTGAACCCTGGATACAACAATTATATTTCTCAATAGCCACAAAGGATCTAAATCCAAAAGTGTGTAGATTACCGACCATCATACTTATTTGAGCCTTTTGTACCTCCCATTCTAAAACCATGGGCATTAATATGGAGTTGGCCCCTCCTGTGCAGCTATAACATTCTCTACTCTCCTGGGGAGTCTTGCCTCAGGATTTTGGAGGGTGTCTGTGGGAATTTGTGCCCATTCATGCAAACGAGACTTGTGAGGTCAGGTACTGACAGATCCAAGAGAACACTCCCAGGCCTGAGCTGTTCCCAGCTCAGCTACGTGTGCTGTCCATGTCTGGTGTCCATCACTTCCCCTCCTCATTCTAGTCGTAAAAGATGTGAAGCCACACACAGCTAATCCATGAGACTCAAAAAACAACCTCCAGAAGAGACACCGCACCCACGACCTCACTCTACCGTGTTTGGGGCTTGATTGCCGAACCAGGTACTCATGTTGGACAAGAAGACCTCCTTATTCATCCAGAGGAAACACCCCACCCATGACCTCCCCCTCTGGCGCATTTTGCCCTTATGACGGGGCTTAATTGTAAAGCCAGGTATTCATTTTAGACAAGACCTGGCTTACAATCAGCATTCCAAGTCATACCAAAAAGGTGTTCAAAAGGGGTCAGGGCTCTATTCAGGCCTCTCGTGTTACACCACATGAAACTGGTAAAACCATGTCTTTATGGAGCTGGCTTTGTGCACAAGAGCACACTTACGCTGGAATAGAAAAGGGCCTCTACCAAACTGTTTCTGCAAGGTTAGAAGCTCACAAATGTTGTTGTATGCTGTATGCTGTTGTATGAAGCTAAAATGTTTTTGTATGCTGTAGTATTACAGTACCCTTCACTGCAATCACTTGAACATTTTCAAGAGGTGTCCACATTCTTTATATCATATAGAGTAGGTGTCAAAAAATTGGTTATATACTGCATCTGTGGAGGTGGGCTACAGACACTTAAAGTGACATTAAACCCTCAAATTTTTTAACATAAAACAATAGTGTAATGTGCGCCTTACTGTAATCCATGGTTGTTTCCCTTCTCTTTGCTGCTCTTCCTTTTAAATCTGTATCTCTTCTCATGCTGAGCAGAACTTCTGTTTTGTAGCAGACTGCCTTGTCTCTGAAATGGATACATGGTGTCTGTGTGTAGGTTCGCAACCTGAGCCAGCACTACAGGAAGAGGCACTCAGCTGCAAAGGGAAGTTCTCCCCAAGCATGAGGAGAGATACAGATTTAAAAAGGAGCAGCAAAGAGAAGGGAAACAACCATGGATTACAGTAAGGCACACAACAGTATTGGTTTATGTAAAAAAAAATCTGAGGGTTTAATGTCACTTTAAATATTAATGTGTTGATGTTGGCAATGCAGACGCTTCCTATTTTTCCACACTTAGCTCAATGATGATTCACTCACCTAGCCCAGGGGCTCATCTTCAAGGCCAGACCACGGCTGATACAGAATCCAGCACCACCAGTTGCAAACAAGAACTTCAGAGATGCCTTAACGGGGGAAAAAAAAAAAAAAAAAAAAAAAACACATGAAGCAATAAGTGAGGTCCCCCGCTTTTCTATTAATACAAACATCTTACTGAAAAGGAAAAATAATTTTAGACCATCTCACCGAGCCATCGCCTTTAACTTTGTCCAGCGTCTCCACAGGGTGATCCAGGCTGGGTCGTCCGACATAAACATCCGTGTTGTGTGGGAAGGCGGAAAGCAGATCTAACAGGGCACGTAGATTCAGGTAATTGTCATCATCCAGGTGACAAAACCATCTACAATAAATAAAATAGATCAGCTTTTCACTATAAACATACACCGACCAACCACTTTATTAGGTACACCTGTTCAATTGCTTGGGAACACAAATTGCTAATCAGCCAATCACATGGCAGCAACTCAATGCATTTAGGCATCTAGACGTGGTGAAGACGACTTGCTGAAGTTCAAACTGAGCATCAGAATGGGGAAGAAAGGGGAAGAAATTGCTGGCGACGTACACTGTACGTCGTCAGTCACGAAGGGGTTAAGGGACTTTGAATGTGGTGTGGTTGTTGATGCCAGACAGGCTGGTCTGAGCATTTCAAAAACTGCTGATCTTCTGGGATTTTCATACATAACCATCTCTAAGGTTTACAGAGAATGGTCCGAAAAAGAGAAAATATCCAGTGAGTGACAGCTGTGTGGACGAAAATGCCTTGTTGATGCCAGAGGTCAGAGGAGAATGGGCAGACTGGTTCGAGATGATAGAAAGGCAACAGTAACTCCAATAACGGGGGATACACTGTCCTTCCTTCTGGAGGGGGGCTACTTTTGTTCCTCATGGTCCCTGTGTGTGTTGTAAAGTAGTCACCTTTCCAAACTCCCTCCCGTGATGGACTTCAATCTCATGTTTTAGTTCACTTCTTTATATTGAGATTGTAGTCCATCACAGGAGTGAGCTTGGAGCAGTGACTACTTTACAACACACAGAGGGACCATGAGGAACACAAGTAGCCACCCTCCAGAAGGAAGGACAGTGTCAGCAACAATTCAGAGATGATCTGAGGATCTACAGCCAAGTGATAGACAAATAAGATACATTTTTGTTTATAGTTAAGGTTCCTGAGTGTATTTTTAAGATTTAACTCCTGAGTTTAGTGCCACCGTAACAGAAATAAAATGGAAGCATGTCTTACTTCTTGGAGGAGGGCACAAACTTGTCATACTCGACAGCCATCTTACAGCACAGAGCCTGACGCGTGTGCACTGCGGAGCAGTTCGTGTTCACCATCTGACTTCCTACAAGGAAAAAACAAAAGGGAAGTAATTAATGTTTGTTCATAAGCAGCTAAGCCAGATACCTGAACTATCAAAGTCAGCATGGCGGCCAGGCAACCAGCAGTGTAAGTACCTGAATTTGACTTATCAGCCATTTGCAATCCCTGTACAAAAGGGTTTCGAGTGGAGGAGGGAGAACAGCACAAGGAGCCAGTCAGCTGAGCTGCAGTTCTCATGTGCTAGCAAGATGAATGCTAACTGTAGACGAGAACAGAGTAGAGCTGCAACAACTAATCGACTAAATCGATAATGAGAATAGTTGGCAACTATTCTCATCATCGATTAGTTGTTTGGGGAAGGACGGAGAGAGAAGAGAGGGGAGGGAATTGAAAAAAATTTATCGGGTAACTAATCGATTATGAAAATAATCATTAGCTGCAGCCCTAGAACAGAGTGACAGAGAAATTAGCTCAGTCTGCTACTTCTCCTTTCACTGTCCAGTCACAGGACAAGAACTATGTTACCAAACTGCAGCAAAGAAAAGTAATGTCTCTGCCCTGCTAGACATAGGGATGTGCTGTGTGGCTGAGCTGTGTACATTTTAGGACCGGATGGACAGAAATACAAATCATTTGGCAGGCTGTATCTGTTTATTTACTTGCCTGGAGTTCATCTTTAAGGGCTAGTTCATACCATATACAGTGCGTTCCAGCACAAGTTGCTCCAGGAACGCGCTGCATCGCATCCCGACCGGCATACTGCCAATATGCTATCACATGGGGGGTTTGTAAGCCCCCTCTCCCCATGTGATAGCAATTAAAGCAAAATAAAAATACGTTTTAAAAATAGTATCAAATTAAATAAATGTAAAAATATTTTTTACAAAACAATGTTTAAAGTCCCCCGCGGGTCATAACTTAAACACGCATCGGGTGCACCTATATATGAAAAGTGACGATCGCGATATACATGTTGGGTGTCTCCAATATTTGTGCGCATCTCAAAACTGATGACCTGTTGGGACTTTTAAAGCCTCATCTACGGACTTTTTGCGGGACTGAATTTTGTCGCCATTTCACAGACGCACACAATTTCTAACTTGGGCATGTCGAGTATCTATTTACTCGTTGTTACCTCATCTTTTAACTCATTTTCAAATAAAATATATTTTATTGTGTTTTGGGGCACTAAAATGTAACTTGAGTGCATTTTTTACTACATTTTTGGGTTTGATAATAAGTTGCGCTAATATCGTGCAACATCAAAATTTGGAACTGCCGCCATTTTATTCTATAGGGTCTTGGCTTTTAGAAAATATATAGGAGGGAATTTATCAAAACTGGAGCAGACAAAATCTGGGGCAGCTGTGCATGGCAACCAATCAGCTTCTTTCATTTTCAAACCTTAACTGAACAAACTGAAGAAAGAAGCTGATTTGTTGCCCTGCACAACTGCTCCAGATTTTGTCTGCTCAAGTTTTGATACATTCCCCTCATAATGTTTTGTGGGTTTTAAGTAATTTTCAGGCCTAAAATGTGGATTATAACAACATGTACACAAAAAATTTTTTTAAAAAGGCCTCAGTCATGAAGGGGTTAAAGAATAATCCACTAGCCCGGCTGTGCTTGGTCTGCTATCTCCAGACACCCCATAACCTGGATCATTTACCGGCTCTCTGGCGCAGTTCTTGGTCCTCGAAATCCGTAAAGATGAAAGCCTGATGAAGACACAAAGAAAGGTTTTTACAATGACAAGCTGTTACCTTCCATCAGATACACATACATGTGACCACCTACATACAGTGGGGGGAATTTATCAAAACTGGAGCAGACAGAATCTAGAGTAATTGCCCATGGCAACCAATCAGCATCTCTCTCCAGTTTGCTCATGTAAGATTTGAAAATGAGAGAGAGAGAAGCTGATTGGTTGCCGTGCACAGCTGCTCCAGATTCTGTCTGCTCCAGTTTTGATAAATTCCCCTCAATGTGATCACTGCTCAGTATCTTTGTTACAATTCAGCATATTCCCCAATGAAGAACTTAAAGCTGAACTCTAAGATACGTCCAAATTTTCCCACAACACTTCCTTTCCGCAGATGCAACAAGCAATATTCCTCTACCCCCACCAGCAGGAAAATTACATTTTAAAAGCCCATGATGTCCTTACTTCTCCTAAATGCAGGTATGTCTGGAGACCAGGAGGAAGAGGCGGGATCACTCATGTGCTGACCTCACATCTATTCACTGACAGTGTTCTTAGGATCCCATTTACATAACCTGCCAATCAATTCAGGCCAGAAGTGAATGGTAGACTTCTGGCCTGTCATTCAACTTGGATTGTTATGGCGGGTGGTACAGACTAGCTTGTCAATTCAATGAATCTGTCATAGTGGGCGGGACAGACCAGAAGGTGTGATGGAACGAGACACGTGAAAACCTTCTGTTCGAAGAAAGGTTTAGGGCCAGTTCACACCAAGTGCGGTGCGTTCCAGAGCGGTAGCTGCTGGAATGCAAAGCAATCACACACTAAACTCCCCCTTTGTTCTGGGGCAAGAGCATTGAAGCCAATGGCACCGCAGCCACACACCCCCGCCCGCAGTGCAATCGGACGCATGGCAAAACATTGCCTGCGTCCCAGTCCAGTGCGAACACAAAAAAAATGCTGCATGCTCTATCTTTTTGCATTCGCACTGGACCGGAACGCAGGCAACGATTACGATGATCATAAAAACGAACCCTCTGCAGTGACACCAGCGTGGGCTGAGCCGGCAACCAAGCCCGAGCGTCTCACCTGCTTTTTGGCTTCGGAGATCCAGGTCTGCAGAAGAAGATCCAAGCGGGTCTTGTGGTACTTCTTGGTTGTTTTCACCGCGAGGAACAGATCCTCTAACCGAAGGCGCTCGCTTGACCGAGATTCATCCTTCGGACCGACGTTCCCAAGGGACTTCACGTGGTCTCTCTTCCCCTCTTGGGGATGGTTGCTCACGTCCTGGGCGGCGCGGGAAAGCCTGGGGACGTCAGATCGGGGCTCCAGGAAACTGCGGGAACAGGTGAGGTTGCAGGCTGGGACCGGCCTGGGAAGGAAATGCAGCCTCCGGGGGCCGAGAAGGAAGACGATGATGCAGACTGACACGGAGAGCAGGAAGCAGATCTTAGTCAACACAATGCTGGAGATTTTCATTCTTCAGCCCTCTGGGGAAGGGCCCTGGGGAGCCAGCTTTGGCATCGCCGACACTGAGGGGACACGGAGGGGGGGTCAGATGTCAAAACTTTATTGATATCAGTCAGGACATCAAACATTTTATTATAAACAACAGTGGTCCAATAGATAGATCCAGTCAGCCTTGTCTGGGAGGAGGCAGTACCACCGGCTTTCTTTTTGAACCGAAGGGGATTTTACATTGATATACTGCCCAATGGTACACAGTTGTGGCGTGGTCACATTGACCCCCAAAGGGCAAGTCTGACAAATGGGACCGCTTGCCATGTCCCCATCCACAGATGTATGCTTACTGAGACCCATAGACTTCAATGGGGCTGTACTGTGCAGCCAGCAGAGGGAAGACTTTGGCACAGGATGTAAACAAACATGGGAGGCCATGAACGCTGGATGCATCTATGGACGGGGGATGGTGGACTCTGTGATGTGTGGGCGAGGGAAACCAAAAAAGTGCACTTTGTATTAAAAGTAAATTAACTAAATTTCCCCCCTCCAGCTTATTTAAGTTTGATGAAGTATTTTAGGAGGGACCCACACTACACAAGTGGACTTTGCTTTAAAGGTCAAACTCCTTTGCTATGCTTAGTGATCTGGAACAAGCATTCAGTCAGTGAAGTATGAATTCTTGACCAGCACAGCTGTTATGAAACAGCTCCAGAGCTTAACATTTTTACCAGGTTCCCTCTAAACCCATATATACCTATGTTATTACAAAATATCAGTATTACTATAGGGCCCCCATACCTGTCTGTGTCACACGGCGGTGCCCCCTCAACGCTGGTACCCCAGCATCTCCCAGCCACCTCAGCTGGTTTAGTGACGTCATCCGCCCGCGCCACTGAACGTCAACAGCCTTTCTAGTCCTGGCCCGCACTCGCTGGTTCTGACGTCGACGCCTACGTCCTCTCACCCCCCTAGAGGCGCAAGGCGCGTAACCCGGAAGTGGTCGGTGGGTCGGGGCCGGAGCGGCATAGAGCGAGGGGGTTGACGATGCCTCTCCCGGTGCAAGTGTTCAGCCTGCAGGTTAGAGAAACGGGCGGGGTCAGCTGTGTATTGTATGTGTAGGGGTCACCGTTCCCCTGACTCTGGAAGGAGGGCTGCCTGTGTTGGCCATAGCAACCTAGCCCAATCCTCTTTCCATTGGAGATAGACAGCCTGGTTGCTGTGGATGACATGAGCTGTGGAGTCCATCTAGGGAGGAGGAGGAGGGGG